CTCATAAAATTTTTAAGTATTTGTGCCTTTTCTTTAAAAAAGTAAGTAACCTCGAAATGGTTCAACCTTTAAAACCTAGTAAACCTAAACACCGGTATATGCTTATTTTCCATAGATATTTCAAAAGAGTTCAGGTGTTGGTAAGTCAACATTCATAGTTCGATGAAATTATGAATGAATAACAATATAATTAAAAAAAAAAAAACCGTATCACATAAATGGAAATTCCTATATAGCTTATATTGGGGGCTAAAAAGGTCTGGTCTGATTGCACAAATTTTTGAAATTGCGCAGGTATACTCAAACAAACTTATATATTATATATTTCACTCATACACTGACCGACATACTGGGCATAAGGTGTGTTAGAATAACGAAAAACATTATATGTAGTGTAATATATTATTAGTATAATATATTCAAAGTATTGACCATAATATACCTGATTTTCGACTTTTGCGTAGGAATTTAAGTGCTGCTCAGCCAATGCTTGTCGATGAAAATAAATAATAATCCGACAAGTCTGGGGAATAATATGTAGGTGCATTTTCGTTTAGCAGAATTATTGTGACGTGTCTTCTAGTCCTTTCGGGTCGTTTTTAGATCACCTTTCCAGATACAGTGAAACTTCGATAAGTCGTAACCTCGATAAGCGAAAAACCTTGATATTTCATAGTATTTCTTCGGTCCCTAGAAAAATTCGCGAAAAATGGATTTACTTCGGTCCCTTTGATAACTCGTATTTTTCTTGAGACAGAAATTGAAAAATGTGTATCAAAAGCCTCTACAACTCGTATTTTTTATAATATAATGTATAATTGCACYGCCCACACTGCAATGGAACCTTTGAGCAATGTGCAGACTGAATTTCTCCCACCTAACACCACTTCAGTTTTGCAACCACTCGACAATGGCATAATCMAAAGTTTCAAAACATTGTACCGTAAAGAAGTTGTTGTTAAACTGCTTGAAAGCATCGAGGAAAAAAAAGATTATTCCATTTCGATTTATATTGCAATGAATATTGCTCATAAAGCCTGGACAAATATCAGTAAATCGACTATTAAAAACTGTTTTTTGTTAAGGATCAAAATGTAGTCGTAATCATCGAAGATGTACTTCACATATCAGAGTGGGCTCGTGTTCCACAAARTGCAGAAACACGTGTAAACTTTGATGACTACATTCATGTTGATGATGAGTTGGTGATTACTGGAAGCCTCAATGATGATGAAATTCTGGGATTCGAAAATATCGACGATGAAACATTTGAAATTCCCTCAGTTTCTACAAAGGTTGCGAAAGCTTCRATTGAAAATTTGCCTCTTTTATCCATGGTATCAAATGTTGAAAACACTATTTTTAATGACATTGTAAACATTGATAATGCCATAGATAAAATACGCCAAAATAATGTCCGTTTTTTGTACAATTTTTCAAAATACCATACATACATATATTGATTGAATAACATATGTACTTTACATTTTAAAATTTAAATATGTATCTTGTTTTTTATGTAAAATTTAAAAAATAAAAGAAACTATAATTCGTATATTCTGTATGTTGCCTCTCTAAGCTGTATAACTTGATAACTTGAAAAACTCCGACATACACCCCCAAATCATAACGCCTCCACCTCCATGTTTCACAGTTGCCACAGTATTTCGCTCTTCCAATTCTGTATTGGGTTTGCAGTACACAATTACTTTACCATCACATCCAAAAAGATTGAATTTGCTTTCATCTGCAAATATCACCTTATTCCAAAATTCAGCGAGCTTGTTTACGTACGTTTTTGCAAACCTTAATCTTTCCAATCTATTTTTTAAGATATATATGGCTTTTTGCGCGCAACTCTTCCCCTGTAGTCATTGATTTTCAAATAATTTCGAATGGTTTGTGGTGTGACATCTATATTTAGGTTTTCTTGAACAGTTTTGGAGAGAACCGTGGCATTTGTTTTTGGTTCTTTCTTGACCTGGCAAACCAACCAACGTTCGTCTGCTTTAGTTAAGGCTTTGGCCGACCACACCTTGGATGATTTTCAACCGATTTTTTATTTTCCAATTTTTCGCGGCCTATCAACTAGTTCGGCTCCTTTGGTTTCGGTTAATCCACTTTTAAAATGTATAACGATCAGATTTTTTATTTCTTTAGACACTTCTTTTTTTGCGACCCATGTTTACCATTTCACTTATTTACTTTAAATATCGCTTCTAAATTGACTGCTGCATAACAATTTTCAAGAAAATACTCAAACCGATAGTAACTTTCAACGTTAATCATTGGAATTTGCTCTTATGCGTAATTGTCGAATAATTTTTTTTTGCTTTCATTTTCAAGATAATTTAGTTTTGGTGCGTTTTTGTTTAATTTTGTTGTTGTGATTATCACAAAACTCATCAACTTACAGACTATATAAATGTTTGCTTTAAAAAACACTGTTTTTTTGGTTCTTTATGTGTTTATATTAAGAAATATTTAAAAAAAAAAAATACATATGTCGAATACTTTCTGTGTATATGTGGCTAAGAGAATTATTGATCCGACTCAGCATGTTTTTGACATACAGGCATACTATCATCAGACAAGGATTCTTTCCGAATTTCTGTAATATATCACATATTAACCTATACTTTCTTGTAAAGGTTTCGCCCGAGTTGACTATATTTAGTTAATGTTTTCTTTATATTTTGGCTGACTTTCGTAAACCCTCTCTATACAATTTTTTCAATCTCACAGCATTTACCTCAAAACCATGACAAGGGAAACATTTATAAATATGCTCTAAGCATGACTTCAAGTGCTGCCGTTGGTCACGTAGGGGCATAAGTAATGACGATATATGCAGAAAGGGACGGAATTTGGGTTTAGAAAGGAGCGGAAACACCTCCTATGCCTCTATGCAACATTATTTAGATCTTGTCGTAGATATCTAGGAGCTTTACAGTTCAATCGACTATATTAAGTATCAAAATAAGATGTCAACTCGCTTTTAAAGTTCACAAAACTCGTTGAGGCCCGGTATGATATATACTTCAGGTCAAATTAAACTAAACCTCCTACTGACATTACTAAGAACCAGTATGTATGACGTGATAGCCTTCCAGAATAAACTAACCTATCCTTATGTATGTTATGTATTATTCTTCTTAAATTATTCTTAGCATAAGTATATCAATCAACTATTTTTGTTAAAATGGCATGTTCCTTGGCAACGGACCATTGTCACGGCTACAAGACCTCATTAATCGAAAACGTATAAACATAATAACGGTTTTGTTCAAAACTATTCCTCTCTCATATAAATATTTATGTAAATATATTTATATATCAATAGGAGTGTTTTATTTGACCAGCAAATAAAGCTATTAGCTTATTTTGTATGGAAGACATAGCCAACAAAATTATGTTGACTTGTCATAAGCTATCATAGCTTGCATACTGACCTAGACGCATTGCCTGTTCATCGCTTTTTTCATTCATAATAGCAAGGTTTTTCCCAAAAAAAGAGTAGTTTGCAAAGCGGGAAACCTTATTTTCACAGATGAAAATGTAAACAACCCCAAATTACATATTTTTTGATGAGTATTGAGTTAAAGTTAAGACAAATATGAACACTTCAGTTTTTTGTATTCTCCACCTCAAATAACTATAATAAATATATTTGTATAGTATATTAATATTCCGTTTACAAATTTTAAATATCAGACTAAATAGTATATCAGCTGATTGTTCTTTTCCGCATTACCAACCCAAATCATTTTTAAGCGAACATATGCAATAAGCTAAGTACGTTTTATTTTGTCCATGATTTAGCTATTGGCTTGTGATGGTCAAATAAAACACGGCTAATTTTGGTTCTTGCTAGCTGCGAAGGCCGAGAAAGAAGATCTTTTTCCTGCGCCTCCAGATTGCTTCGCAAAAATAGTAGTTTGCACAAAATTATCGTACCCATATTATAAGATTTGAGCATGCAATGACCAGTCTAGAGATTCCTTTACTGAACAATATGTATCGTGTAAAGGAAATCTGAAAGACTAACGTATTRCAATATATTCTTTTTCTTCGTAATTTTCGTAAACACCGCTTACGCGATTATAGCCGAGTTAACAACAGCGCGCCAGTCGTTTCTAATTTTCGCTACGTGGCGCCAATTGGATGYTCCATTCGTAGCGAGGTSCTTTTCTACCTGGTCCTTCCAAAGGAGTGGAGGTCTTCCTCTTCCTATGCTTCCCCCGGCGAGTACAGCGTCTTTACTTTCAGAGCTTGGCGCAGATTGTTTGCTCTCCTTTTTAATGGATTGGGCATAGCACACTTAACCCATTAATGACAACGTATGATGTATCATACGCAAAAAGAGCTTTTTTTAAAAATTCGTCAAAAATCCGAAATGAAATAAAAGCTTTTCATATTTGCAGTGTGAGCGAGATAAAAGGATYGTTGCATTAGAAAAGCTTTTTAATTGTCGCTTAAAGCTCATTTGTTTACAATTTTCGCGGCAATTTAAGTAGCATTTTTCGGAAAAGTGAATAATGACTCTAAGGTGAGGTTTATATTTTTATAAATAGTAAGCGAGGAATTTGTATAACTTAAAATGCGCATAAACTTAAAGCTAAAAGCTAAGCTATCCTAAAGTGCAGTGAAAAATTGAGCTCCGAAAGTGTTTTAACTATTTGTAAACTATTGCGTATGTTTTATCATACGTAAACGCTAGCCCAGTTTTTGCTATATGAAAATTCATTCCTAATATCTCCTTGTAGACAAGCAACAACTGAGGAGATAGCTAGATGTCTCCAAAATTTAAATGAAGATGATGATGCAGAGATTATAGAAAACATCAATAATGCCAATTTTATTGATGTGACTTTGCTCCCCCCCGAAGAACAGGAGTTATCCGATTGCGATGACGCAGATGTAGACGATGAAGGTATAGTGGGTGATTTGGGTCGTGGAGTTCTTAAAAGGGCATGTGAAATAAGAATTGGTAACTCAGAAGTGGAGGAGCAACACTTTCTAAAAAAAAGAAGATTTGCCGRAAATGGTCAAAGATAGTACTAAAAGCAAGTGGATGTTCTATCACAGCAATACGCGAGCATACTCCGGACATTGTAGCAGATATTTTAGAAAATGATTTAAGTCCAATACAACTTTTTAAAAGAATTTTTGATAGCGAATTTATGGAATGTATGCAATCAGAGACTGTTAAATACGCCATAAACAAAGGAGATGAAGCCTTCACCGTAAGTCTTGAGGAGTTAWACACATATTTCGGCATMCTTATACTAAGTGGATACAACAAGGTGACTAACTTGAACCACAAATTCACTTGCTTACTTGTTAAATTAAACATTTTTATTTTAAGGTTCCAACTACTCCCATGTACTGGGAGACAGAAAGTGATGTGTACAATCATTTAGTGGCAGGTTCAATGGCGAGGAATAAGTTTGAAAAAATACATCGCTACCTTCATTTCAATGRTAATACACAAATTGATTCGAATAATAAGGCATTCAAAGTTCAGCCTGTTCTTGATCATTTAAATACAAAGTTTAAAGAGCTTGGAAAACCCTTTGGAACTTCATTTTCTGTAGACGAATCGATGGAGCCGTA